AAACTCCTCCTCTAAAATGCACTAATCTAATCAGAGTTACACTATCCACTCATACTTTTTATGTTCATTTTACTTTTTAGGTATTTTATTATTATTATTATTATTATTTTTTAAGTAGGTGGGTTGAGTTGGGCGTGTTTATTCGATTTTCATCAAATCTTGTGTTATTTACCGCTTTCTTAATTATTGCGGCAATTCAACATATGATAATTTGACTTGATTAACTAAATATCTAGGATAATTAAAAAGTGTCATGTTGCTTTTAATTGACAAATTTAATTCCGCGTTATTCACCTATTAGGTGATTTTAAGGTTGAACAAGTAACTTTCATTTTGTATAATAAAAAAATTGTCAACTGGCCAGAAATTTTATTAAAGTAATATGGTCATTAATCATGCATAATGACTGTATTATTATACTGTATTATTATTTTATAAAAATGTTATGCATCCAGTATACAATAATTAAGGCAAAGTTGACGAAAAAGATACAAGAGTCGGGAGGATGGAAATGCCAGAGATATAAAGCAATATAGCATGTTCAGAAAGGAAATCACATCTTAACTCTTGTTATTTCGCCTAGTTTGACGAGCATGCCTTGATATAGTTCAAAATTCGTGCAAAAAGAAATAGAAATAGCGTTTAAATGGACTAAAAATTCTCACCAAAATGTCTCGCGGAAGAAATTTCCTAATATATCTATCTATTACATACATATTTTCTCACTTTTTTGAGAATCCTCTTACAACATGTTTTCTTGACTTATTTTTAGACGTGTATATGGCAAGACTATTGCCATCTACAGAATTTAAGGTTTGCCTTTTTGTCTAAATTTTGTTCTCATGTTTTCTTGACTTATTTTGAGACGTGTATATGGAAAGACTATTGCCATCTACAGAATTTAAGGTTTGCCTTATCGTCTAAATTTTGTTAGGAGTTAACTGATGAACTAAAACAGTGACCAAGCAGTGTGATATGGCTAGGTTTGGTCATCTTCTTCCAAATTTATTTGAACAATTGGCCAATTATAATTATGCTGGAAACATAAATAAAATAATACAAAATATAATTATATGTTAGTTATACCGTGTTATCAAACAAGCCATTATTGAGTTGTAAATTAAGGTTACATTTGTCACATGCTTAGGTTTGCTATTATTGAGGATGAAATAACAGCGACAGCTTATTTTCTCTTTCATGGATTAACCAATTCAAGAATAACAAAATTGAATTCAGTCATTTAATATATGGTTGATCGGCTGCCAATCTAATCAATGCATCCACCAGATTTCTTGGACATCGATAGGACACGGTTCAGCCCGACAAGGTATAGGTTTCATCTTAAAATGACACTTATTAGACAATAAATATATGTTATGTAAGTCTTTATGAATTGTTTATAAATGGTCAAAAAAATAATCAAATTAATATTTATTCACACATTATGCGAGACTTATAAGTATTGTCCATTTATATACTTTCTCCGTCACATTTATATAATTAGTTGACTTTCTTTATTTTTTGTCCTAATTATATAGTCTTATTTCTTTATTGAGAATATTTTATTTTGTTCGTTTACTAATGTGCTCTTATATAATTTGTCCAGTTATAACTTACAACCAATTTTTTCAACTTAATTTGAAATTGCACAAATATAAAAGCCTAGTTGTTGAAAATTAATTTTTTTTTTTATTTTACTACTTCAAGCAATAATTTACTACTAGTTATTGATAATTAAATAAGAGTAAACTAGGAAATTTTTTACAAAAAAAGTTTTTTCAATAACATTAAATAGATTTTTTAATCCGCGTGAAAAACAAAATCAGCTATATAAATGGGACGAATGAAGTATCACTTATTTATATATACTTATATACAAAATCGTTTATTAACACTTCCCAAACGCACAAGTCTCTCTGCTTCAGGAATATTTTGTGGATTGAAGTAGGTTTTATAAGTTAGGAAGAAATTTGGTACAAATGTCCTAAACCTTTCAGATATGGTGCAAATGGTCCCAAACATTTTCAATTTTGGCACAAATGGTCCTTTTGGACGGTTTCCATCTATTTGATATTTGGAATACAATTGACCTTCAAATATATGAATATATAAAACAATGTCAATTGTATTCCACAGACCAAACCAACAGCTCTTATAGGCAGAAACCATATAAATAACCATTTGCATCAAAGTTGAAAAGGTTTGGAACCATTTACACGATATTTGCGCCGATTTTCCAAGTAATTATCAACGTGGATCAACTGATTTGTTTGATATAGAGAGCAATTATGAGCTACCTGAAAATATCCCAAAGTCGTGCCTAATTAAGCAACCATAGAGACGAAAAAATAATAAGTTTGATCTGGATTATGTCACTTGAAATTTGGCTTTGTAAACATTTTTCTCTACTACATTGGTTGAAGGTCATGCTGCATTTGTATTTTATTCAATTTTGATGTAAATTTCATCTTAATTTTGGTTTGAAAACAAGAATATGTGATTGGATGTATACGCCAAACATGATCGCCATACTCACGAATAGTAAGAAATAATTCTCAACGCCATTACTTACCCTTGCTACAAGAAATTCAATTTTTTGCGTTGCCTACATACAATTATTGAAAGCAATTGATACCGTCGCAAATAGTATTACGTACCAATTAACACTTAGAGAGTATGTTTTTTATTGTAAAATTATCTTAAATATATATGAGTCTCACTGTGGAATGTGGATGATATATAACAATGTCGTCAAGGTCCATACTGGAACAGGAAAAAAAAAAAAAATACAACTAAGCACTTGAGTGAGTTGTTATTTGAGTTGGATCTAACTATAATACTAAATAGGAAGAGATATACTAGAAACGACATTTTATGTCAATAATGACAACAAAAGGGTATTAATTATTAAATGAATGGAATAGAGACGTGGATGGAATACAATAAAATAGAGCTACTCTGAGGTTTCCTCTGAAATGAGATATGAAACGTGGAAGGGAGCCTCTACGAAGAAGTTCTGGAAGTTACAAAGGAAGTTTCGAGCTGAGTTGATAACTTATAAATATATATTTGTTACTAGTATATTGCATTCGGTCCAAGCATAGTCCCATTCACTTCAAACATTCAATCTAAACGTTTATCATACAAATCTATTACCTGTGGCTGTTTGCTTCAAACGTATCCATGCAGTGGAAATATTGCGAAATATGCTTAAGACTCCAAAGCACTAGTTATTTCATTAGGATACCAAAGATATGGGCATCAAACATTTCTCAAAAATACTGAATAATTAAGAAAATTGAAGGACTCTCAAATTTTATGTATAAACCACCACCCTAAAACAAAATCCTAACTTTTGCTTAAATAATAAAATTCTACAAAAAACCCTCTGTTAAAAATGAAAAAATAACCCCTATCTATAGTCTTTCATTTAGACAATAAAATAAAATAAAAAAAAAAGTAAAATCAGTGATAAAATAAAGCATATCAAATATTTGATTTTTACGTTTCATATTGCGTCACGTAAATTGAGGGCACAAATCACAATTGACACGGAGGCATTAGCACTTCAAAAAGGCCTAACCTTTGTGAAAGAATATGAGCTCAAGGTTGTACTAGTTGAATCAAGATGTTTTCCACTTATCCACCACTTGAAATCTGTATTGTAACATTACTTAGCGAAAGTCGGAGATCGAACGCTAGAAATTTGTGGACACGTTTGCGCTATATGCATTAGTAGCAATAGAGAAATAGGCTAAATTTTCGTGATATTTTAAAGATGGAAATAAAATAACTCATTCACTTGATTCTTTTACCACAACTTCCCCAGTCGATCACCGCTGGATTGATTGTATTATTTCTTTGTATTTCACCTTTTGTTTGCGGCGAATCTATCATAATAAAAGTCTGTTTCAATTTTAGAAAAAAAAATTTGCAAGAATACATTTTACAAAACCATCTAATGAATTTTTACATAAACATTAATTGCAGAGAAATATAACCTAATGACACCAAATAAACAAAAACATGTACCAATTTTTATTTTTTTAATTTTTTTCCTAATTGTCATAATAGTTTCTAGTATAGCGTTCATATTCACACTTAACCATTCACTGTGTAATTGGATCAAAACTTTTCAAGAGAAATATGAAGACACACACAGATAGCTCAGACACAGAAATGAATGTAGGCACTTATGAAAGATTCATATTATTGAGTTGATTGGAACTCCATGTTCAAAATTAACATGAAATCACAAAAATCCAAAAATCGAGCAATCTATCGAACAGTTGGAACCAAATGATGAAATAACAAAAAGAAAATGAAGAAAATTATTTTACAACCTATTGGAGATGAATAACCCCAAAAGGGCCAATAAACTTTACATTCATCTCAAGAGGGCAAAAACTAACATCATATTGTACAAGAAACAAGTCACCCTACTTAGTTCAAGAAAACATGTAGTCTACAAAAACTTCCAATTTGTGAAATACACACTAAGAATGTAGTTTGAACTCAACGGCTTGAACAGTACAAATCAACAAAATGGAAGCTTTGAGTCCCCGGAATAAGAATGCACCATACGTAAGAAAGCCCGAGGACAAAACTAAAATACATACTCCATAAAATGATTACTAAGAGGTTAGTATTTCTAATGTTCACTATTACCTGACACAATTCTAAGATCGAGAATCCTTCTCTTTTGCTTCTGAATTCATTTTCTCTTGCATCGGTAGCATGGATTCCACTTGTTCTGTACCTTGCAAAATGGTATCTGTTACTGTCAAAATGAAAGAAGAAAATCAGCTAGCATTATTGGTGTATGGCAGCAACTCCATGGAATCAGCTAACCATATTAGAAAATTCTAGAAGAAGATGACATGGAAGAAGTGAACGTGGTTTCTGTTTTCTGCCTCAAATTTGTTACAATTTGTTACAAGATTCTTCAGTTAATTGTATAAATAGAGGAGCTGAATGAATCCGGATTGCATCTTCAGAATTCATTTTACTTTGTACCCCTTTTCTTTTTCTTTCACAGAATTAATAGAAATTCTTCCTTCTTCATTATCCTTGTTTGCTTTCATATTTGTTTTAGTTACACCCTTCACAGGTAGAGTGGAGTCGGTTTGATCGGTATATTTCATTGTAGGATCACTTGGATCTATTGCTTGTTGGACAGAGTCCATTTGTTTAGTTACTGTTGAAACAGAAATTCTTTTATCTATTGCAGGCAGGGCAGAATTCAATTCATCTGTTGCTTCCACTACTGTTGTATGTACAAGATTCTTCTGTTCTAAGTTTGTTTCCGTTATCTCATAATCAGATAGGAGATCCATGAACTCATTGAGCAACCTCTGAACTTTTCTGTTTGATGCCATAGCTGGAAGAATATCTTCTCTAAGCAGCTTGCACTTTTTCATTCCCTGCCAAGACAGGACGGTCAGTTATCAAATGATAAAAATTCATATCATATAATAAAAAAAATAAAAAAGGGGGCAACAAAAACCATGATGCAGACATGGGCAACCCAACAAAAATTGGAAGAATTTTCATCACCAGTGTTAAACATTGTGCTTAACATTTTGGGCCCAAACCCATTCCAAATGGCCCTATGATGCAGCACAAATTAAATTGAGTCCAGTCCAATTGAAAGAATGTAACCTGGCTGCCCATTTCCATTATGTTATTCTCGCATTTTGCTGAAATACGACTTTGGTTATTATTTTTAAAGGTTGTGATGATGCCATTTGGAGATAGTGCCACCGTTGGATGCTTCTGACCTTTGTATTATTTGGCTGACTCTTCATTTTGACGACATTTCGAGATATTGTCAGGGTTTTCTCTCTTTTGCTCTCTGTGTTCTCTCTATCCGAAAACTCTTGGTTTTCGACTGTAATCTGTTGGTTGTAGATATTCTTGGTGAAGTTTAGTGTAGATTACTGTGTAATTTTGGTGATTCTGTTCTTGGTTGAGCAGTAACCTTTGGTTATTTGGTGTAATCGGAGTTGAGTGTTCTTGAGAGAAGAAATTGGGGTTGATGGCTAAATTCGTTTGGATTTTTGTATTGTGACTCTTGTATTGATAATCTTTGTTGGTTTCTAGTGGATTAGAGCGACAACCACTTTGGTAGATGCTCAACGTGGTGATTAACCCTTTCTAGGGTGAACATTCGGGCCAAAGGGATAAAAATCACTCGTGTTCTTTATTTTCTGTTATGTGATTGGTGTTATTTGGGAGTGTTTGTTACAATGGTGGTATTAGAGCTCTTCAATCTATACATAAATCCTTTGATCCGAGTTTTTCTTGTGTTCTTGACGATCGAAACCCTAGATATTTACAGATCTATACTGTAAAGGGTTAGATCTTCATTTCTATGGAGAAAATAAAATAGTATTGGTACTCACTATTTTACACTGTCGAACTGAGACTTTTTGTAACGAGTTTTCAACCCTATCTCTCTTATCATCATTCAATCTGAAGATATTCTTGGATTTCTTGGTTGAAACCCTCTTGTATCTTACTTTGTCTAGGGTTTCATGAGAAAACCCTAGAATCTGATGGGACGAAGATTAAAGGTTTCTTCAAGATTATACTAAATTTTGTTTTCGAAGGTTGTATATTCTGTGATTTGGTTATATTGGAGTTACTTGTTGATCTGATCATAAACTTGTACATTTGTGTAAATATATTCTGCACATAAGCACTTAGTGTGTGTGTACATTTCTGGATTTAATTTTCTGTGCACTATGTACATCAAAATTTGTCTTAATTTTAAACTGTCAAACATTCATTATTTTCAAAGTTTAATATGGGAAGTACAAAAGTTGATGTTGAAATTTGGAATGGCAAATGAGATTTTAATCTCCGGAGTAAAAAATGAAGGCTCTTTTAGTGTGCTAAAGCCATTGATGAATCTTGGTGTGAAGAAGTTGTTGATAATAAAAGAATTGAACAAAGTGAAATTGCATGGAACGCTATTTTCTTGCATCTGTCTGATAGTTTTATTAGAGAAGTATGGAAGACTAAGACTGCAACTTAAATTTGGACAAAGCTTGAATCCCTTTATAAAACCAAGACACTTCCCAATAAATGTTACTTGTGAAACAATTTTTTAGTTTCAAATTTGATCCTAATTGTGATCTTGAAACAAAACTTAACATATTTAATAAACATTCCCAAGATCTCACCAACAGTGGTGAGACTCTTTCTGATGATCAATAATCTGTAGTTTTATTATCATCCTCACTTGAAAAATATAAGGAATTAAAAAATGCCCTTGAATATGGAAGAACTTCTATCACTGTTTATGTCATTGTTTCTTCTTTAAGTAATAAAGAACTTGAATTTAAAAGTAATTTGAAATCTTCCATAAATGGAGTTGGTTATAATGTTAAAGGAAATAATTTCTTTCAAAGAAACAATAACCATTCTTTAAACAAAAGTTTTGGAAAACCAAAAGTATACTCAGGAAACTCTAAAAATGGAAAATTTAAATTCAATAAGAATAATAATAAGGTTAAAGGAAAGAAATGTTACTTTTGTGGAAAAGTTGGCCATTTCATAAAAGATTGTGCAAAGTGAATTGATGAACTGAAAAATGTTAACAAAATTGAAGGTTGAGCTGCCATTGCTTATGAAGAAACTGCAACCTCAAATGGATATGTCTACATGACTTGCCAATGTTCAATTAAAGATGACCGAATTCACTTTTTCATATGACACCTTGTAAAGAATACTTCTCTGATTTTCTGAAAATTAATGGAGGACAAGTAATGTTAAAAAATGATTTTTTTTGCACAATTAAAGGAATTGGTAGGATTTTTTAAAAACTAAATGATGGAAATATACTGACCTTGAATAAGATCGGGTACATTCTTAATCTAAAGAGAAATTTAATCTCTTTAGGTACACTTGATGATGAAGGTTTTGATACTATTATAAATAAAGGTATCATGACACTTTAAAAGGATTTTGCAAAAGTTATTCAGGTTGAAAAATCCAATGGGATCTATGTTTTGAAAGCTTTGCCTTTATTAAATCAATCTATTACTGCTATAGTCTCACAATCAGATAAATATGAACTTTGGCACAAAAGATTTGGACATATTAGTGATAAAAAATTACATATTCTTAAGAAACAAGGTCTTTTGGGTGTTGAAAGGATTGAAATAATGTCATTTTGTGAACATTGCATTTATGCAAAGCAAAAGAAATAGCCTTTTGCCACTGGCATTTATAAATCAAAATCTATTCTTGATTATTTACATGCTGATATGTGGGGGCCAGCTACCGTAAGTACTTATTCTAGTTTTAAATACTTCTTACTCATTATTGATGATTTTTCAAAGAAAAGTTTGGTCTGACACTTTCAAAAACTTTACAAAATGGAAAACTCTTATTGAAAATCAAGTAAACAAGAATGTTAAAACACTTAGAATTGATAATGGCTTGCATTTTGTAATGAAGAGTTTGGTAACTTCTGTAAAAATAATGAGATCCATAGACATATGACACTCACATATACTCCACAACAGAATGAGCTTGCAGAAATGATGAATATAACTTTGTTAGAAAATGTAAAATGCATGTTGATAAGCTCAGGTCTTCCAAAACTGTTTTGGGTAGAAGTTGTTAAAATTGCCTCATTTCTAATAAATAAGTGTCCTACTAAATCATTGAAATATGATACCTGATCATGTTTGGAGTGGGCATCAAATTGATTATTCTAAACTAAAATTTTTTGGTTGTGCTGCATATGTACATCAAAATGAAGGAAAACTTGGGCCCATATCTGTTAAAGAATTTTCTTAGGATATGGTGAATGTTTTAAAGGTTATAGGATTTGGTTGAAGGGTCAGGGAAGTTATAGAGTTATAATTAATAGGAATGTTATCTTTAATAAGATGGACATGCCCCGCATAAAAGAAAAATGAACAGCTACCCCTGAAACTGATCAAAATAAATTTTTTATGGAATTTGAACCTTTTCAGGGTGATCTAAATCTTGAAGATGATGATCAATTTGAGGTGAAGCCTGATCAGGAACAAATTAATGAACCTGAACTTGATCAATATGAAAATCCCTTAGAAGATTATCATCTAGCTAGGGATAGAGTAAGAAGGGAAATAAGACCACCATCAAGATATGATGAATCTGAATTCGTTACTGCCTTTAATGTTCAGAATTATTTGGACAATGAACCTAGCTCTTATGAAGAGGTTATTGAAAAAATGCAAGCTCTTGGCTTGCAGCCATGAAAGATGAAATGATTTCATTAGTTAAGAATAAAACTTGGGTCTTAGTTAGTAAACCCAAAGATGATATCGTTATTGATTGTAAATGGATCTATAAAATAAAAAAAGGTGATTCAAAGGTGAAAAAATAAGGTTCAAGACTAGATTAGTTGCTAAGGGCTTTAATCAAAGAAAGGGAATTGATTACAATGAAATTTTCTCTCCTGTAGTCAAATATCCTCTACAAGAGTTTTACTTTCTCTTATTTTACAATTTGATTTTGAATTAGAACAATTAAATATTAAAACTGCCTTTTTACATGGAAATTTGAATGAGAAAATTTATATGACTCAACCAAAAGGTTTTGAACAAAAAAGAAAAGAAAACTGTGTGTCTTTTACAAAAATCACTTTATGGTTTGAAACAAACCCCCAGACAATGATATATCAGACTTGATACTTTCATAAAAGGACTCGATTTCAATAGAAGTGAAAATGACCCATTTTTTTATTATAAAGGAAATGGAGGTCATGATTCTCATTATCTTTTGCTATATATTGATAATATGTTACTTGCAGGATGTGATATAACTGAGATTAACCATATTAAGCAAAAATTCAAACGGGAATTTGAAATGAAAGATTTAAGCCAAGCAAAAAGGATTCTTGGAATGGAAATTAGAAGAAATAGAAGTGATTTTAATCTGTTTCTTACTCAACAGTCTTACATTTCAAAAATATTATGTAGATTTTCTATGGATATGGCTAAAGAAGTAACTTCACCTCTTGGCAGTCACTTTAATTTTTTTGTAGAACAATGTGATGGAGAACGGTCCTTATGCAAATGCTGTTGGCTTTGTTAACAAATATCTAACATCAACCATAAAGACGGAATGGTTCACAAGAGCGTTAATAGTGGGATAAACAATTGTTGAAATCTTTCTTCTTTGGTTCCTTGTCCTTTTCGTTGACAACAATGACTCAAATCTTATGACTAACATGTAAAACCAATTAATGTGGTCCAAATAATATTATTAATAAATTAATTAAAGTGGTTTATTATTGTTAAAATTCTATTGGTCAATTGAGTAGTGTCAATTTTTTTTAGCTATCCACTTTGGTGGAAAGTGAATATTTTTTTTCTTGACCTTTGGATTGCATGACTCTTGGACTGCATGACCCTTGGAC